CTCTTCTTTTTTGTGCCTGACCTACTGCGCAAACCAAATTTGGAGCAATACTGTGTTCTATAATGACACAAGAGCTTCCTTTAGAGATTATTGCCGTTATTTCCATTGAATGTAATGATGGCTGAGGGGGAACTTGGATCATTTACGCAGCCAAATAACAATAAGATTATGGACATTTAGCAAATAATAATTGTAATGTAAATATGGTAATATGATAATAATATTTGCACACATTTCCTTTATGTCAGCATCATTTAAACTTTATCAAATCTAAAATTGATTATAAAACAACATTTACAATTAGATTTTCCATTATAGGTCAACTCTCTATAGAGATGACTTGGTTACCACGCCAACACTTTTTGTTCCCCCTATCTCCTGTTGCTATGGTAACAGCTGGGTCATAACAGTTGACCTGATCTTCCTCTGCAGGTAATGTAGTTGTTAACTCAGCAGGCCCTTACATATAATAGACACGTGTCCTGTCAGTTTAGCCTTTGACCTCTTGGCTTTTGTGGACCAGTTACAATTAATTTTTATAGGTCTTAGAGATGTCACAACTATCTTGAGTTTGGCCTGGTTTTGCCTGTGTAGTTCTCAAGTGGCAATTGATTTGCCTGTTTCTGCTAGTTAAAAGCAGTATAAGGCCAGATTTTAACACCTATAAACTATTGTACGTCGCTTTCTCCCAGTGTTTTTCCCATTGTAATCATCATCATAGAAGTTACAGATACAGACATCATGTTATCTTAGATTAAAGATCAGTCACTACTGAACAAATGATTGGTTTTACACAGATTCCAACTTGATTGTGCCACTGATGTTGCTCAAGTTGCCTTACAGAAACAGGACAATCACATATACATTTTGTCTGAGAAAAGTGAAAATTACATCTTTTGATTAAAGATCACATTCAAAAAGTCATTGTCCGTTCAGCAAGAGGGTTACTATTACTAAAAGTATTATTAAATTATCTCAGGGCAATGTGATTAGTTCTGTTTAATATTCAGTACCTGTTGTGTTTTTGAATTAGGGTGGGCAAAACATTAGAAACACCTTTTAATACATTACAGGTCAATTCAATCTCACATCTGCTGCCCTGAAAATTATAAAGTTTCATCATGTGCCTGAAAGATGTGACTCACTGTACAGCAATGAGATTGTGCATGTGTAGCTAATAAACCGGCATGTGCACTACATAATGTCCATTCACTCTGAGATAATTAAGTTGTGATCACGAGAACACAGATGTGATGATTTAGTTATGATCTCAAGGTTACAGGCCAGACACATTTTACAGCCACAATGACCACTCTGGGCTTCCATATTTTCTGAACTGGTTTCACACCTTCCAGCTGCTCCCTTTTGTGAAGTAGAAACAGCCGCCTGCAGCAATCCAATTGGAATTTAACTGGATTTAAAGATGCTTCAAGATGCCAAAGCCTCTGATCTTGATCACTGTAGATTAATTGGCTGTCCTGCTATTACTCGCCGGAGTTCAGGTATGACCAAAGCCTGCAGCTCTGGCATTTCACGGGATACACAAGGAAAGAAAGGCCACGTTTCTTTGCTTTTGTAGGTTGCATGTTGTGACCTAAATCTTGTCTTTGATCACATAAGTAAATCCACTTGACTTTTCCATAGCCTTCACTCATGATACACAGTGAGAGTCGGTAGTAATTTGGGGATTTTCATGGTGTATGGTTTCTTTGTGCAAAAGGATTTGTCGCTCTATAAGGTCTATAAGGATTTGTCGCGTTACTGTAGCTATGAGACACAATATTGCCACACTCCCCGGAGTTTGTCTGTAACACTGAGTTATTGTCCTTGTCTCCAGAAGGGCAGATGGTGTACAGATTTTGAATTACAATGTGTGCTCAGATAGACAGATCACTAGTTCTATTTATCTGACAGCTTTTAAGAATGGATTTATTATTATATTTGTATTTTATGTTATGCACATTTTAATTTTGTGTTATGAAAGTACTATATAAGGAAAGTAATAATGATAGATTCGATAACGATAATTCATTAATTTTTCATTGTGGATTAGTTTTTTAATGTATGTTTTTGTAATATAACTGACTAAGTGACTGGTCTATAAAATCTCAGAAAACACTTAAAAATATCTATTAAAATTTCCCACAACCCAAATTGATGTCTCCAAATTACTTTTTTTATCCGGTCATCAGTCCAAAACTCAAAAATATTCCATTTATAATATTATAAAACATAGAAAAGCAGCAAATTCTGACTTTCAGAAAGCCAGAACAAGCAGGTGTTTGGCTTGTTCTCATTAAAAGGGTTATAGACTTAACCACAGAAATAATAAGTGGAATTGGTGTATTATTGACATTTGTTTTAAGATTTCATCATGGTTTCTTGTGTTTTGGTCCTTGTGTATTTTTCTGGATAGAATTGAGCTAAATCAATATAAACTGAGCGACTGCTATTGAGAGATTCAGAAAATCAAACGCAGAGCATGCTGTGTATTGTGTCAACTGGTTCTAAATGAAAGTATACCACAACCCCTCCCATCACTCAGGAGTCACAATGAGACAGTTGTGTTCTCTGTTTGATTCCTTTGTATCTGTCTGACGTGACCCGCTCCAGAGACATGTCTGTTCTCTGCTTAATTTAGACTGGGATGACAGGGACAAAGGTTTGAAGTCTTCCTGAGCGACAGGCTGTCTCTCCAGCTCTAATGGTTGTTTGCTAGAGAGTTACTGTCACGGGGCGTACAGCTTAGAATTCCTGAGTGAGTTTGTGAATCAAGACTGTGTTTAGAAAACAACAGTACTGGAGGACTTTGTTTGTGGTTTTGGTTTCTGGAGAGGACCAGCAGCGTGATAGGGCGGTAATTGGTGTATAAATGTAGTTTGGGCGGATTTAAATCTTTTGTCAGTATCCATCAGCAGCAAAAAGAACTGAGAGAACAATGCTGATGGTCTGGCAGAGGTGAGCAAGCACCTACATGTCAGGACAGACTGGTATATTATAGTCACACTAACCAACTGACTTTGTATTTGTTTGCATGTGTGTGTTACTTTTTGTAGCGACCTTTCTTCTTGTTCTCTGTGACCTCTTTGAATTTTAGTGCAAAATTTTCATCCTTCCTCCTCTTTTGCTTGTCTTCCTTTCCTTCTTTTTCTTTTTTCAATTTGTCTTCTTTTCCTCTTCTCTGCCTACATGTATCTTCTTCCACTTCTCATCCTTCTTCTTCCTCTCTTCCTCTCTCCTCCTCCTCTTCCTACTTTTTCTCCTCCACATCTTCCTTTTTCTCCTTCTCCTACCTCTTCTCTTTGTGCTTCTGTATCCCCCTCCTCCTTCTGCCTGTTCTCCTTCTTCTTCCCCTCTACCTCCTCCTCCTCCGCCTCATCCTCCTTATCTTCATTCTTCTTATTCATCTTCTGTATCATTATTGTTATCATTATTTCTATCATCATCATTAATATCTTTATTAGCAGCAGCAGCAGTAGTAGTAATGGTATTTCCACAGCTAGTGGAACCATGGCTTACTTCCTCATTTCCCTAATTTTGTGGGTTTCAGTGTAATCTGCCCATTTGAAGTTCAGCTCAACTCGTGAGATTATTTCTGCCTCTGAAAAATATTTGTGTGACTAAAACTGCAATCTGCCGTCCTGATGCAGCTTCTTCACCTGCTGCTCCGTCATACACAGCAGCCGCACGTCTGTCATCTCAGCTGTCGTCCATAGTGCCGCGCTCACGTCTGTAGTAGTACTCCACAGTGAACACAAAGCGCTGTCCTCCCAGTCCTCCCTTGTGCTGTTACTCTGTACTGTAGGTGTAAATCCACTACACCTGGCACTGTGCCTCCACCACTATAGAGCCAATCCTCTTTCCTCCACAGATTATCATTAGACCGTTCAACCCTTTCCCTCTATTGTACGATAAATTGAGCCTTTGTTCCCAGATGTAAAGTAATGGCATGGCTGGGTCTGTTCTTAATTTATTACCTTTATTAAATTAAGTCAATAAAAGCGTCAGTATCTTGACACATTATAAGAAGACATAATGTATTTTATATGCTTGTATGCAAATTAGTTGTAGTCTGCCAGAAGGGAAACCGCCTACATCTGTGTCTGTCACTGAAGGACTGTAATATTTTCTGGGGTCATTTTTTGACCCATACTTGTCTGAAACGCCTGTGGTTGTAACCTTGATTTGGTTTAATGTGAATAGATTGCTTTTGTCTAACTTGTTTTCACTGTATGCTAGTGATCTAAATTATATTTTAATCTCAACCCATATGACCACTGTATTCATTATTTACATAGGTAGAAGTGTACTTCTATCACAGTCCGCTATTTTATTTTATTTTATTATATATATTTGACTTTACTCATATTTGAGTATGGGGGATTATTCATCATGTATTATGGAAATATTTTTTTGATAGTTGGAAATATACTATGATAGTTTTTTATACATGCATTATGCATACATTTATTGTTTTGTCAATAATAAATAAGGGGTATTAATAAGACCATAAATCAGCTACTCCAGTATAGTGTCTCACATTAGCTTATTATCGACCTACTGGTACTGGCGTAAATGGCAGCTGATGGGTAGCAAGAAATTATGGTACAGAAATGCTGCGCAAAGATAAAATGTATAATATAATAAACTATATATCTGCCAATATGTCATTGTTATTTAAAATACTGATGTAGGTCGGGCTTAAAAGTCTTCTAGAGCTTGAGCTCTAGTATTAAATTCTCATTATATATTGCTTTTAATTGCTGCTACCTTAAGAGGCATAGAAATTGCAACTGTAAGTTAGCAATTATTAGTTATTAGTGATTTGATTTTCTTCTTTATATTTTCATCGTCCAGTGCTTACAGCCAGTCACCATATAACAAACCCTGCTGCTTTATGTTGGGCTGTTGCAAAGCATTGTGTGATGCTGACCGTGATGCTGACCCATACTCTCCCTTTCTGTTTTTTTTGTTGCTCAGGAGTTTGCTGCGCTGACCAAGGAGCTGAACGCCTGCAGAGAGCAGCTGCTGGAGAAGGAGGAGGAGATTTCTGAGCTCAAAGCTGAAAGGAACAACACCAGGGTGAGGACAGCGTTGAAGCGCACCTTAAATCATTGACTAAACCGATTATATTGCCACTAATTAATCTTGGCAGTGACAACATGCCGAATTCTCTGAGACATTCAATAGTTTCTGGGCAAAGAGAGACGAGATGTTATTTTGACATTTTTAACCACATATTTACTTTATGATGATGCCTGTTTCTTCCATATCCAACCCCGTTAAGTTTGCAATTCTGCAAGTTTCTCTAAAGTTTCACAACTCGCCCCCAAATTTTCATGTCAGCCGCAACAACATCTGCACGCTGCGATAGACAGCGTCCTGAGAAAGCTTAAGCTATCTGGTGGGTACGGTTTTAAGGCTGCAGAAGCACTGAAGCAACCATGCGCACTGTCTGTTTCCAATTCCCAGACATACCTCATTAGCTCCCCACATTCTGCTGGAACATTTTTCCACTTACTTCACATGGATGGCCGCTCAACAGTAAAACTAAGTCCAAATGGCACTGATGCCCTGCAGTGTCCAGGTCAAAGTATTTGGGAGAAAAAACAACTAAAGACATTAACGGATCAGCTCGGTTTTGTGGAGCTGAAGTCTTGCATCTTCAATAAAAAACATTCCCTTTTTTGAAGCAGTAAGCACACTCTGCTGTTGACAGATAAGACTCTGTTTTCCATCCCACTGCTGATTAAGTGTGGATTTACTGTCTTGCACAATCTCTTTCTGGGCGGAGGCAGAATATTTTAGCACGACAGCGGCTGAGAAAAACGGAAAAAAGAGGGAGGTGAGGCGCAAGACACAAGGACAGACAAAAGTCATTTTCACTCTCTCACTTTATTATCACCTCAAATCTTATGATGGCCAATTACCAAGCAAACTTTAATTAAGCATGGTTTTGTTGCTGGTAGGGTTTTACAGTTCATAATTAAATCTTCGAAGGCATGTGCTGGCAGTCAGTGGACTGAGGAGCAGACAGCAGATGGAAGGACAGGTTAACTTTATTGGTTGTTTTAGATAAGCATTATAACCAAATGACACGCATGTAAATTCATGCAGAGACTTGATAAGACTGAAAAAGAGAGCAACAGATAAAGGATGAAAATATTTACAGGACAGGAGGAGACTGGCTGTTGTTGTTCTGAAGACATTACCTGAGGCAGAACTCAGTTCATTTTATGATTGATTCGATGGTGGGCATTTTGTTGAGTGTGCAGGAGTGCGCATGTAGACATGATGGCTGCTGATGAGAAAGACAGACAAGAGACGACACGCAGTCCCCTTACAGTAGAGGTCTGCACTGGGTCTCTTTTCAACCCTGCATGCACTTACTCGTACAGGATTTCCAACCGTTACCAACCACTCCTGCAGAGAGTCTGATCATTTCTGCCTGCAAAATGTTTTGTATTGAAAATCCGTCTGTCCCGCCCTGCAGGGAAAATAACACACATTCAAATTGCAATGGGAACAAAGATTGAATATAATACATTATGGATTGAGTCCCTGATTCTCTTCAAGTTTGTATTGTTTTCCATAGCAACAGATACAAACCAGATGCTGGATGCTCAGTTCATGTTACAGATTAGATTTGGATTAGGAACAGCAATTATGTTTTACTTTTGTTGCTTTATTTGGAACCATCAATGGAGGAATATGGTTAACTGGAAGCCACGTGGAATGGAAAAAGGAATAGTTCAACAATTTTGAAAAATAAATTAGCTTTCTTGAGTCAGGTGAGAAGATCAATACCGCTCTTATGTCTGTATGGTAACTATATAGCTACAGCTTGCACAGGCTCTGTCCAAAGGTAACAAAATTCAACTACCTGCACCTGTAAAGCCAAGAAATAGTCCAACACATAACCTCCCTTAACACTGCAACTTCCTGTTTTTCCCCCCCTAATTTTCGGTATGGATTAAACAAAGGAGATATAATGTGTGAATTAGTGCGCTTTAGGCAGATTTTAGGGCAGGCTAGCTTTCCCCTTGTTTTCAGTCTTTGTGCTAAGCTTAGCTAACCGGTTGCTGATTCTAGCTACCCAGAGATTTTGGCTGTTAACCTGAGCAAAATAAATGAGCAACCATTTATTTTTTGTAGATAACTAAGACCTGCAAGTGATGCACAATAGTAATGCTATTTTGTAATTTTATATCCCCAACTAAAACCAAGAGGAAATATAGAGTGTACTGGATCAATGGGTTTTAGTTGTCATTTAAATATCATTAGACCCTGATGGTTGCTCTCACCTTCATCTTCACCCCTGTACACTGCACATTCTGTTTTATTACATTAAATTGTTCCCAGTTTTCTTGAATAAATACATAATATCATGCTTACTGTGTAATGCACAGTAAGAGCTTTATAGAGCTTTGTTAAAAATGCAGTCCCTTTTAGTTCACCAGTGATCCCAAGTGGGAACTTGATTTCCTCACCAGTGGTTAACCACAGAATACATTTCATCCAGCTGCAGCCTGTTGAGCAGCCTTCAGCGGGGGATGTTTAGACTAGTGAAGCAAAGGTATGACAGGGATGAAGCCAGGGAGGTTTTTCTGGGAAAAGAATGAGAGGCTCATTTTGAGTTGGAACTTTACCCTCTAACCAGATCATTATCTTGGTGATATACTGTTATGTCCTTGGACAATGTCCGAGAGGGAATGAAGTGTTGAGATGTGCATCGCCACAAAACTGCTGCAGTGTTTTCATGATCCATTGAGTAACAAGGGGAAATGAAAGCAGATGATCACATACACTGATCTTACAATGGAACGGTAATGAATAATGTTTTATCTCTGCAGCCGATCTGGAATTCTGTCTCCCAGTCACATCCATGTTGTTTACTCCTAGTTGTTGTTGTTGTTGTTGTATTTACTTTCTTATCCTGAAGTCAACCCCTGAGCTCTGCATCTCATCTTGCCTGTCCTTGTGAAGCTCTCTGCTGGCAGTTGACTTGACATGCTACCTAGCAGCCAATTAGCATAATCCCTTTTGTGCACTGCTGGAAGGATTACAGTTACTTTTGAGCAGATTTGAAGGATTTTTGCATTTTTCATGCCTTTACACTGAAAAAGGCAGAACATGTACAGCACATTTTCCTACAAATGAAATGGGCACAATTACTGTAAATCACTGCGGTGTAATATTTTCTTAATGCACACCTGTTAAAATATCTTACATTGTGACTCTAATAACACAAATTAATGGAACTAACCATTTGTAACAATGTGGATGATGATAATTATTACTATAATTGAAGTAAACAACATGCTTTTTACCTCTGCTTCTTTGGTCTTGCTATTTTTGTTTGAGCAAGCCTGAAGAGGAATTGATCCTTGGATTACATTTGTATTATACTCATTATGTTGTTGATTTATCTTTAAGATCGAGGAGCGAGCCCAATAAAGCACACATGAATGTATTTTTCATATTATTACCTAAATTAGGTGGATCTCAAGCTGAGTTTGGGCATGCAGCAAATGTTTCTCCTTTTGGATTATTTCACATTATGCCTACGTTTTACTAGCATCTGACTTAATTATACTACTGTGAAGAAGATTTCTACTTTTCTGATGATTATGTTGATGTTAACAGAGTTTTTTTCTGTGTTCTTCTTCAGCTACTGCTGGAGCATCTGGAGTGCCTGGTGTCCAGACACGAGCGGTCGCTTCGTATGACAGTGGTCAAGCGGCAGGCTCAGTCGCCCTCAGGAGTCTCCAGTGAAGTTGAGGTCCTTAAAGCACTCAAGTCCTTGTTTGAACACCATAAAGCCCTAGATGAGAAGGTAAGTGTGCCTCCATTAGCACATCATTTAAATTTTGAGGTGTCTGCCTGAGCAGCGTGTACAATAGCATCAGGAATCAGTGTCTGCTCCTGTGTCTGGCTCTTATGTGATTTAAGTGGTTTACATTTGCTGTTTTTTCCTGGTATGATTTTTAATTTTCAATTCATCCTCTCTTCTAAAAGCCATCATTTATAAAGCATGTCCAATGGCATGCTGTTCAAGGGAATAAAAGCTGCCTTGTGCAGCTGGGGGGCGGGGGGGGCATCGCGACTCGGACTCCAGCTAACTTCTAATCCAGGATCAACCTCCTCTGAGATCTGGCATCCTGTTTGGCCACAGCAGCAGCGGTGCACGGTCACCACACGGTGCAAGTAATTGCTCCATCACAGCCACGACAATCCTAGAAGAAGATGCTCTAAATTTCTCTGAGTTCACAGAGGAAGAGAGGAGTGTAGGAGGGGAATCTCCTCCCAGCAACTGGTGCTTTAAAAGCAATAAAAGCCTCATATCGCTGCTTTGAAGCCACAGCAAAGTGTTATTGTGAGGATAAGGGAGGAAAAGAGGACAGCTCTTTCTGCTGCAGCAGCAGGGCTTCTTTTCTGCTGTGTTTAACCTCTGATTGCCTGGAATCTAAACACTAGTCGCTGGGGGGGGCAGCTGCAATCTGCACATGTTAAGGCAGATCATGATACATATTTGTTTTTTTATTTTTATTCCCAGGTAAGAGAGAGACTACGGGTGTCACTGGAGAGGGTGTCTGCCTTGGAGGAGGAGCTCACAGCAGCCAATCAGGAGGTAAGATAATGAATGTTGTAATCCTTACAGTTGTATCCTCAATTCCTCAATGGTGATGGATGTGCATATATATTGTGAGTACATAAGTAATTACAGCAACAAAATTACACCAAATACTAAAACTCCCAACACTAAAAACAATTTAATAGAGAAATAGAAATTGTAACAGGATGTTAGATTAAATTTGTACAACTAAAGGTTACATTTCAGATTGAAAATGGAGTGTGACAAATACTGAAATATGGAAACATGTTGCATGAATAGGATTGCATGAATAGGATTGCATTATATCTTAGATGTGCAGATGTACATAGTTAGCTGTTTGATTGTCAGAATGTTTCACTTAAAAGAAATAAGAAAACTATATAAAAGAAAATACAAATGTGTAGACACTGTACATTCAAACATGTGTCCAATTTACAGAACAAATGTACAGGATTATTTACTGCTCCTTTATGTGGATGTAAATCGAATGCATGGTGTCAAGATGTGTCCAGGATTTTGTATCAACTCCAAAAACCCCAAAACAGCCAGAGCACCTCTGCGTGATTTACTCACCCTCGAACAACATAAAAAAAATAACATTGTGCACATGAGTGGCTGAGGTACAGCTCTGACAGAAGAGTGGCCACTTTCGCCATGGTGGCCTAACTCTTTCTCAACCTCCTTGCTCAGGCGGGCAGAAGTGCCAGAGCAGCTCTTACACTGCAGATGGTCCTGTTCCAGCTGAGAGAAAAAAAACCCTCAGGCTGGCACTTCACAGCCTGTCAGACATGCCAGTCTGACACTCAGGCCTAGAATAAAAGTCGGTAAGGAGAGGAGGAAAAGGAGAGAAAGGGGAGTGAAAAGCAGAGGGAGGGGAGGGGAGTGGGTGGAAGGACAGACAGCGAGATGGAGTCGGAGAGGAGAGAGGAGGAAATGCAAAAAGAGCAAAGAAGCAGAAGACAGAAATAGAGTTGGCAGGTGGGAAGCAGAGGCAGGTTGTGTGTGGAGGTGTGTGTGTGTTAATGAGGTGCAGTTGGTCAGAGCACATCTGACAAGGTGTGGAGACAAGAGGATGAAGGCTTAAGACAAACTGTGATGATGTGTAAGTAGATGAACGGGTTGATTGTGGTCTGAAGCCAAAGATTAGACGGTGTAGGATCTGAGCACAAAGGGGGAGAGTGGGGGAAAAAAAGGATTGAACAGTTAAAAAAATAATGTGACAGGCTGCTGGTTCCCAAAGCTGTCTCTCATTTTTCTTTTACAGCTATTGGACAAAGTCTGCTTTTTAAACTGTAAAGTCCCTGACAGACATCTCAGTGGAGGACGTAGCACTTTGAAGAGTTTTCTCACATCACACAGCCAAGGTTAGAAAGACCGTACAGTACATCTGTGAGGCTGTCTGTCATAAATGGTTAACACTACACTTGTCAGTACGGCGGGCAGATGAGTGATTGGACCTTGAGGTGGCTAAACCTTCTTTGCCGAATAAAAATGTCGATGCCTCAGGAACTCTAGGGAGGCGCACGGAGTCAGTAGCTGGCCAACCGGTAATTGATTTGTGATGGAGGTCTGGTATGAGTCCCTTCTCCCTGCGGGGCTTTAGACAACACGACCATGCCTGATGTAATCATCGGCCTTTGACCTCACGCAGTCACAGGTGTTTAAGTGGCCACACACTGATTACTGCTGGTGATTGCAATTTGCTGTTATGGAACAAACTGTAATTCAGACTGCGTTGGAATCTATCTGGTGATAAATTGTTGTTATTTATAGGGGACAATGGGCATTAATCAACACTGTGACACATTTGAAAAAAACTTTCAAAATAAAACTGCCAGACATATCTCAACAGCTAATTTGCACCTATTGTCTCATCACAATTAGAAATTGACAAAACAGATTAATATTTATATAAATAAATAACAGAAAAATGTTATCCTAAATAAAGCTGACATACTAATACTTAGTAAAATGTTCTATTCTCAGGCAAAGGTTATTTCCATTGGTAGAAGTTAAGTGCATTTTGTCACCTCTGGCATTTGCCTTTGTTTTCTCAGAGGTGACCACATCTCTCCATCAGTTCAATACACTGGCTTAAAGGAGGAAGAGCCATTGGGTGCATAATCTATGCATTAGTAAAGCCCATGTATTGTTTAAAATGAACATACTGATAAATAATATCTTAATGGGGATATTAATTTGATTTGTAATGGACCCCTCGTGTGTATTAGAAAAAGTTTGTATGTGTGCATTAGAAAAAATAAATTACGCTTAATGTAGAAAGTTTGGGACCAGTTTGAAACAAACTTTACACTCAATAGTCATGTTAATCAGCAACACTCCAAAAAATGTCCATATCATTAATTCATTTTTATCTATTATTGAATCCAAAAAGTCTTTAAAGCCCCTGAAAATCAGATTTATATTGAGTATTACTTTATAACAGAAAATATGTATGATGAAATAAGTAAAAATCACATTCAAAGTGCAGAAAAACTGCTGTGTTAGAATTTAACGCTCAGTTTGATTGACAGTGGCCTGTCAGCATGAGCAAACAACTGTCATCTGATTTGATTCAAATACTGCTATATCCTGACTGATGCCCAGAAGTGCGTGACATTTTGTGACACTTTTTTTCCAACTGAGTGCCAGCCGATTCAAAACAAGAAGAACACAGATAAAACAGAAAAGCCATAACTCTCAAAAACAAAACTGTTGAAACTTTGGCTGAGTTTTATGTTTATGTAGGACCAAGTAAAAAAGCTAATTGAGAAAATAGCTTTTTTAAACCAAATCTGACAGAAAAAATAGACTTAATTTTAGAAATTTCTGTTGGAAAAGGTTGTTTTTTTTAGGACTCAATATTAGACAGACTACTAACTTTTACATCTTTCCTACAAGAATTCTATATCACAGGCAAATTTAAGCAGACAATATGAATTTAGTATTTGCACATTTTTCCAAAGCGTGCGGTTGATTGTAATTTAAGCGCATTGCAGCAGAGACTTGCATGCCCCCAGCTCTCACCTTGACAAAATCAATCTTTTATACTCTAAGAACCCCCCCGACCCTCCCGTCACTCCTCCTCACATTTGTCCAATTTCTCCTCCATCACATTACTTCCGACAGTCTCCATCCAACACAGAAGTGCTAAAGAGGGGTAAGAAAATCAGGATGCAGGCCCATCTCGTGCTACCTTTCCGTCAGATGTCTGCCTTTGATGAGAGGTACATCAGCAACATCAAAAAGAAATGATAGGCGGCATGTTCATTTTGCATCTGGCAAACTTCTCCTTTCTTTAATTTCCGAGCTGGAGATGCATCTGTAGCACTCCATTCATCATTTGTTGTTCCTTTATGTCACGGGTGGTGTTAGTGTTTGATCTCTGAGCTGGAGAAATTACAGACAATCTCGGAATAATGGTACGGAAACATACAGAGGCATAATTATGCCCTTGTTAAAAATAATGAACGGAGACGTTCTGTAGTCGGTGTGCAACTGCGGAGAAGAAACCAAGCTGTTGCTGGCGAAGTCTGAGGCCAAGCTTAATGTAAGGTTAAACCTTGCCATAGTGGATGGGAGAAAATCATATTTTACTGCCCCGCTCTCCGCCACTTTAAAGAAGTCCTGACATCAATTGACTCTCACTATGATGAGGGCAGGTTAGAGTTTAAACCAGATCATGTCAAAGTCACTTGAGAGCATTGTTTGTTTTATCGACAGTCGTGTCATTGATTGTTCCGAGGCTCCCTTCCCCTCTGTTGTTCAGAGAAATGCAATTTTCTCCATTCATGTAGAGATTTTTAAAGTTCCCAGCCTATTTGTTCTGAACAAAAATGACCTTCCAGTAACTGTATAATCAACTGTTTTTGAAGCAAACAAACACAATTCCATTAATGTGTGTGTCTAATAACAGATAGAGTAGCTGGGAAACTACAAAAAAGAGGAAAACATGCAGATTTGAGAGCCCAGGCTGATTCAGAGCTTTTGAATACTGAGAGTGGAGCCAGCATGATGCAGCTTTAATCACATCATGCTAACAGCACGATACATGTACTGTAGTTGTTTTTGGTTTTTGTAGTTTCTTCTATGCTAGTGTAGGAAAAGGGAGTGGATATTTTGTTTTTGGTTTATTTTTTTAAAGAGAAGAGACATCCCAGCGGGGTTGAGTGGACTACTTTCTGGGACTGTTTGACTCTTAAAAGGGAAATTCTGATTTCATACGGTACAAACAATACAACTTGGGTCGTATTTTGGTAGTCTTGGCCATTCAAAATAATATTCATTCAACATTGCATTCACGGCAACAACAGTAAAGTCAAGTCAGACAGGGCAAAAAACACAAGTAGTCAAATTATCCTCTTAAACAAATCTGCAGTAACTGGTTTTTAAACATAATTTTTCTCACAGTTACCTTCAAATAAAGTGGTTTAGATCATTTGGTTAAAGTCTTTTTGTTAAATACCTGGCCAATCGTCACTGCTTTCTTGACTTTGACTTAGTGATCTAATCTCAGCAATTATTGTGGTGAATACAATCTTATCATAATCAATAGTAATCACTGCCAAAAGTATGAAAACAAAACCTAAGTTGCAATAAACTTGAATTGCCCTGTAATAATGATGGCTAATTCCTTGGGTTTTCAATTTGTCACAACGTGGATCAAGATTGGGGGGGGAAAGGGGTGACCACATAAGATTTGAAACTTGATAGTTTATTTTATGTAGCAAAAAGAGAAAAAGGACTGAAAGCTAACAAAAAAGCATGTAAGAGGGAAAAGAGAGGGAGACAGGCTCGCTGCCACCAGTTTGTGTAGAATAGTGAGGCAGACGGTCCAGGTGAACTGAATCTTCTTGATAGCCCAGCTCCACCCTGCAGACTCCTGCAGGGAGAGGCTTGACACACCTGGGGTGGGACTCACACTGTAGCTGTATTATTTGACAATTTACTGCAATGTGTTTTCCAAAGCTGCACTTTAACGACAAAGAAGTTTCACAATAAGTTGGCGCTTTTGGTAGGTCATTTTTAGTGCTTCACGTTACTATCTTACTCCCAGGAGTTTCAGATTCTGGAAAGTCTTGTTTTGGAGGCACCACAAAGTCTCAGGGGCTTCACATTGTTTATGAGAGACAAGTAGCAGCGAAGCGCACTGTCTGCGTTTCTCTTCTCCATTATAAGGAGAGTGATAATCACATGGTGTCTGTCAAGGAAGAACCTAATTATTGTTGTTGTCGGTCACCCATCTGACAGGATTATGACTTTAAGATAGTTGCTTAAGGTGGTGAAACAAGACACGAGGTCCGCAGAACATGATAATTATAGTGATTGTATCAGTGCTCAAGTGCTTCCAGCTTCATGTTGGTTAAAGCCATGTTCAATAAATTCCTGTAGAGAGGGACATACTGTAATTTAGTATTGCATAAGAGAGAAACATGACTAGTTAACTGGGGGTTGCAGTTATGTATTTATGCTAATCAAACATTGAGGTTTCAACAGGTTCTGCTCGTGTTGCAAAGCCACATTTTAAAGTCTGACTTTTTTTTTTTATCTCAGCTCTCTTAACTCCCAACATATGTATATGCAGGTATTCTGATATTGTGCCAATTTCAGCTCTAATGTGTGCACTTTTGACCATCCTGCAGATTGTGGCCTTACGGGAACAAAATGCTCACATTCAGAGAAAAGTGGCTTCCGGAGACGGAGGAGAGGACATACTGGAGGGCAGTGAAGCTCAGCAGAAGGTCCATGGCAAGGTGAGCCTCCATCTTAAAATAGGGCACAATCTGTACGTGTATTTTTTAAAATAAATATATATAATTTTTATATATAGTAGTAGTATAGTTATCCTCAGTCGTCTCTATGGTCCTGAAGACAGCTTAAGCTTTATATATTACACCAATTTACACAATATTAATCATGCACATATTTAACTGTCCTTTAAGCACGGATCTTTCATTTATCATCTTCTGATATCTTCTATGTCAAAGTCACACCAGTTGCAATCATCATTTTGTGTACATGTCTGGTGGTAATAAACAAATAATTCATGCATGTTAACGTCCTCCTGGAGTAAGTTTTTTTTGATCATACATTAGCTCTGCTGGTGTTCTGAAGGTGACCCACAGTCAGATGAGAGCTCTTGCTGTGACCCCAGTCTCTCCCATTATGCAGGAGCACACGTGGACCTGCAGAGCTGAATACAAATTTGCCTCTTATTATAAATTTAAAGAGAGAAGGTGTAACGGCATCCACATTTACTAGATCATACAGGAACAGAGACTGCATCAGAACCCAAAACAACCAACCCCAAATCCCAAAGCAGACCTGCGAAATCCTCTTTACATGCAGACAGCAGCATCTACATCTTACAGAGGATACCTGGGTAGATCAATGGAGATGCTATTACTAGGCTGGTCTGCTGCAGAAGGAGTGGGGGAGTTGGGTGAGGGATGTCGGGAGGTAAGAAGATGAAGAGTGTGTTGTGCAGAGGGATAGGCTAATGAGAAGACAGCTATTGTCTGCCCTGTTTTGTGAAGATAAAGGGAGTGAATATGTACGTGTGTTTTTATTTGTGTGCGTGTGTTAACTGCTAAACGGCGCGAATGAGAACTAGTTATTCGGTGTCGCTGCCGTCACGGGGACTGACAGACGTGTCTGGGGGGGGGGAGTGATGACCCTGATCTGTAGGACCGACGTCGTCTCGGAAGGCACAGTCCTCTCCACCTGATTTGCACGTGTCCCTTTGGTCATTAATGTGACAGGAGGAGAGAGGTCAGTGAGAGGGGAAGAAGGAGTGAAGAGGGAGAAAGGAGGGAATAAAAGAGCAGCTCTTGAAGTGCATATTGACCCATGGAGCTCTTAAACCTTTAGCATAGACCTGGATCTGCCTGATAACCAGCTAATACAGTCTGACAGATGAGGCCTGCTGCTTCACCATTTTCATTTTTCATCCAGTAAATATCCAGCCACTGGGCTGTTGCTGGATTAGTTTCATAGCCCATCACTCTTAGAACAGATTTACCTTTCACTTTTTGTAAAACAGTCACCCCACTGCTGGTGTTATTGTTTTCACTGGATATAAACTGGATAGAAAGATGCTATGTAGGCTATATAGCTCATTCTTTCTTAGCTGCATTGATTTTATTAATGTTGCACTGGGTTTTATTTAACATTAAACTGCGAACTGTGAGCAGGGCATTATAGTGTCATAAAATGCTATGTGTGATTCAACAAGAAGTACACGATGAAGTATTTATTTTTATGTACAATTAGAAATGCTGCACTATAACTACAGTTGTCCAATAAATCCCTCTGTATGAAGTGGCATTAAATGGTAGTACTTACAATTTTAAGGTACCTATACTTCCCTTAAGGAAGTATAAGTGCCGTAGCAAATTTTATTTTCATTTTTAAAGTTTTGAGAATTATGAATCTGCACTCAGGCAAGTGTATGACATTCTGTTGTATAGTTCTATCATAGACTGTGACATGACAGGGTAACCCACAAACCTCACTGTGAACACATACCAGAGGGATTATTCAGTAGAAAATAGTCCTAACTCCATTGTTTCTTGAAAAACCAAGAGACAAACAAACCTGACTGACCTCCACTGTATTGGTGGGGCAGTAGAGACAGATAATTTGGGCAAATAGAAACCAAAACTCTGCTTGGCTAGACGAGGGGTAAGTGAGAAAATGTGTTTTGTGATTTAAATGAACTGACCCCTTTAAAATGTGTCTGCTCGTGTGGACGCAAAACTTTATCTAAACTCTTGCAGCCTTTAAAAAAGATTGGCCATTTAAACTTTCTTAAAAAACAGGTGCCCTAATGTTACAAGACTGTGAAATTAGGACAATAATGGGAGCCACAGTTCAATAATGTATCATTGTGGGGCTGTTGAGACATTTTGCAATAAAGTCGAGCTAAATCCTTAAAGTTGGTCCTTTTTATGAGAGCGGCCCAGTGCCCGAGCACTGGTATTAAAATCAGTGGCGTGATTTAGTGGGTCTTGTTCCCCTGCTCGGGTGAATCATTGATCACAGGCAGCAGGCGGAGAGGGCCAATTAGGTTTGTCCTCACAGATGGATGGCCGAGGACGAGCAGCTGGGCCTGATGCAGGAGAGAGATGGAGAATGAGGATATCACTTTTCCTCAATCTTCACCTCCACCTGTGATACAGTAATTGCATTTGAACATAAAGAGAAAGCTTTGTTATTTAAAAGCTGCGTTCAGTGCTGTCAGTGGAAGTATGTCATTTAGTCGTGATAATAGAGTTGTTTTCTGGTGCGTTATTCTCGGCTCTAAACCTCTGTGCAATTTGGATCTCTCTGGCATCCCCCCCTAATTAATCTACCTCATGCAGAGACCAGGGGGGTGGCTGCACAGAGCTAGAACTCAGCAAAATCTAATCATATTACTAATGCAAGTGTCAAAGCAATTTTTCCAATGGTGTCTGGAGTGATTCTCAGTCACCCAGTCTTTGTCACCGTCCAAAATCAAAGCAAGGAAACAGCTAAAGCCTTGAGCTCCTGAACTCAAATTTATTAGAGTGCTAATGTGTGTAACTCTCAAAAGAAGAAATGGTATCTGAAGTGGGAGCAAGGCTGATTTCTCAAGGATCGCTTTAATACAGCACAAGAAAGCCAGGACATGACAGGAAATCAGAAAACAGTTCTTTATTCAGCTAATTTTTAATCTTGCCAATGTCTCTAGTCACAGTCTAACTTTTGTTTCTTTTATTAGATTTTTCCAATTAAGTTTTTAAAAAGAGAAATCTGTATAAGAAAGTGGTGTGAATGGCAAATATGACATTGATTTATTTTTTTCATCCAGTGTAAACTAAATGGTGCCTATTATAAGACATTAAACAAAACGCACATGTACAAATCCATTAATTTTAGATGACCAAGGACAAGGACTAAAATTTTTGTCTTTAACAACACCAAGATCAGAAAAAACACTGCTTCTCAGTAATACCTATCTGCCTTAATTGCTGCAAAAGTTTTTATCTGAGCAGTTATAGAAGAAGTTATATTGTATACAATACTAATACATGGTGGTCACCAGGTCATTTGATTTGTATGTGTTTTCTTAGCTTTGGCTTTCTAAACTGAAGTTAAAGTTGCTGTCCCCTGCTTTTCTCATCTCTCCCCCAGCGTCTGTCCAACGGCTCTCTGGAGTCGGCCCATGAGGCGAGCCAGGTGGTGGAGCTGCAGGACCTGCTGGAGAAGCAGAACTACGAGCTGGCCCAGATGAAGGAGCGCATGTCCTCCCTCTCCTCACGGGTCTCCGAGGTGGAGCAGGAGCTGGAGACCGCCCGCAAGGACCTCATCAAGTCAGAGGAGATGAACAACAAGTACCAGAGGGACATCAAAGAGGTTACAGCACACACACATTTGCAAGGGAATAACGGTTGCAAGAGAGACATCAAAGAAGGCTAGCAGTGGCCTAAAAAAGCTTCTATTAGCATGTACTCTCACACTTTCCCTTCCTCTCCATGACTGTATGCTTCTGTCATAACACAAACATATTCACACGCAATTCTAGGCACACTGCTTCCTTGAAGTACAAAAAAAAAGCCTTTATTTTAATGTCTTTCTCAAACAATCACACACAAGCAGGTGAATCCTATAAATATTCTTGCAACATGCAAACAGACAGACTCCAGTAGGCATAAACACTTCACAAGGACACACACTAACACTTAAAATAAAAATAAAAAACCTCCAAGAAGAACAAGCAGCTGTCTCTGCATCTGCCACTGTTTGTTCCTTGAACACTATTTCATGCTGGAGTGTCGACACGTAAAGCACAAAACCAGCCAGCTAAATGGCAGTTTTCTGGAGAGATTAGAATGTTTGTGTCATAAATTGGCAATTAAGATCCCAATCATAAACCCATTCAGTATACGTCTGTGCGAGGTGCATGCCAGTGAAGTGGACGGGATATGAATATAAGCTGATCCCCCTATAGCCTTTGGGCTGAAATTGCTATTGATTGTTAACGATGCAGGCTGTGGCCGGGCAAACACGGCCTCATCGGACTGACCCAGTGTTTTTACCCTGCACTGCCTCCTCTGAGAGCCACACTTTATTCAGCTCTCCCAGTGACTACTATTTTTTTGTGTGGTTTTTAAACCACATGCGCTTGCATGGGTTTGTGCCTGCAGCAATTCTCCATGCAGGAAATTAACTTTCAGAGTTTCAGAGATAATGTTGCCTTCATGAGGGGCAACCTTGTTTCATGTCAGCAGTATAAGATACAAATCACAGCTGCGTGTTTGTACGTTATTAAGCTTTATTGTTTTTTGTCTCGTTTGGTATTTGACTTGTTGTTCGTGTAGATATACAATGGTCATGTTGTATATGGAGCTAATCTTTATTTTGTCAACTTGTAGCTCTTCTTTGTGTTTACAATTCAACTTCAGTAACTGTTTGAGGGCTTCTGGACATGTTGTAATTTTAGTTTTTGTACTAATGACATTCAGCTGCATATTTCAGTAGGCCACAAGCTGTGATGAGAACATTCTGCACACTTGTTTTAGACATTAATAACTATTTGTATAATTCATGTTTTGTAGTGCGATATAAATCAAACCTGTGCAGATATTAAATTGCAAAATGTATGTTTGCAAAAATACTAGAAATTAGAGCTGCAGATGATTTACGGCAAGTTCTGTGAGCAAAAAAAGCTGAAATTTAAGACAAATCTAAGCAGCAACCAGAAACACACTTTATTCTTTTAAATAGTAATCAGTGAAGGGGGAATTTTAGTTTTAGGAATGCTCTCACCTTCACTGACTCTGTGTGTGTGTCCGCACACAGGCCATGTGTCAGAAGGAGGACATGGAGGAACGGATCGTGACATTGGAAAAACGCTACCTGAGCGCCCAACGGGAGTCCACCTCGGTGCACGACATCAACGACAAACTGGAGAACGAGTTGGCCAATAAGGAGGCGTTCCTTCGACAGGTCTGTATAATCCAATGAGTGTATATGAGATCCAAGTCACTGATCATCAATCCTGAGAGATTATTAAAATGCTTTGTGTTTTCCAGTTCTGTTTACTTCAAAAACGTTAATGATTATTTTATTTGTCAGACTGAGTTGTAGGTGGCTGCTAAAATGGACTATTCATAGCTGATATGCCCAACATTTTTTTTTTCAACAATTTGACTAAATTCACAAAAGAATAAAACATGCAGGCAGCTGGTTATGTAATATAGATGGTTCCTGTCAGTTAAAGAGCCCTTAGAGCTGATCTACAGAGGTTTGGCAATGAGAAACCTTCTTGACATTGTGTCAAATAATGTCAGAGGAAATTACTACTGAGGAAGGAACTTTCATGGTTTCAGTTAAGTATTTACTTTTAGCAGATGCACATGGCTCAAAGTCATCCTCAGAACTGATGCAATGCTGTCAATATGATCAAACCATGGTACAGATTTATTCTCCTTTTTGATGATCCTTTGTGATTCATTGGAGCCAATTACATAAATTGTCTGGCCATACAAGATTGAGTGACATTTCCATGTGTACAGGCTTAAGCACCAGCTGAGCTCTGGAGGAAAGGATGTCACACTAATATTAGCAGAAGTAATCACGGGCACGCACAGACACCATGAGACACACAAGCACCCCTTGGCTTTGCTATGAAGAAAGTTTCTCACACACCAACCAATGACGCTTATTTGCTGCCTTACATGATCGATATTACTCTCATATGCATTTATAAGGCTACAACCAGCAGCCATGTAGTTTAGCTTAGCAGGGGGGAACAGCTAACTTGGCTCTGTCCAAAGGTATCAAAGTCTCCCTACCAGCACCCTTTTAAAACTCACTAATTAACACATTATTTCTTGATGATTTAGTTTGTGCAAAAACTGAAAGGTAAAAATTAAAATTTGCTATTTTACGGTTGGGAGCAATAACTTCCTGGAGTCTCCGCTGGTTGCCTGGCAACTGCTTCCTACAAATAAATACTTTAGACAGAGCCAGGTTAGCTGTTTCCCCCCGTTTCCTGTCTTTATACTAACCTAAGCTAACTGGCTGCTGGCTTTAGTTGCATATTTATTGTACAGACACAAGAGTGGTATCAATCTTCAGCCATTTTATTGAGCATTTAATTTCTGAGTCAAGATTTCCCCTTTTGGCTTGTACACAACCGGTCATAAGCACCTCATCGAGTTGACTTCAAGACCACTCTACAAAATAAATGCATCCAGAAACCCCCTCAGAACGTACAGAAATAACCCTTCAAAGACTTTGGGTTTAAGCTCCTGCTACCGCACACAAACACACTTCCTCGCTGTAATGAGTTTACTTGTTATTGTGCCAGGAGCTGAACCCCGGGATCTGGACGCTGATGTTTGAAGATGAGTTGTTCAGGGGGATGTAGGCTTGGCCATTGGTACAGAGGGATGATTGGATGAGAAGAAATTGCAAGCAAAAAAGGCAAAAAAGATGGATGGAAGGGCACCTAGGAAGGATATTGCAGACAAAAACTGTAATGCTTCCCCCAGTGTCATCTCAGACACCAATGGGATGGTGATATGGGTAAAGACAGAAAATATCACTGACACACACAACACAACAGCCCTGGCCCACTCCAGTCTAATTATTGCATATTGAGCTGCCAGGCCCGATGCTTTGGGGAGCAGAGCATCTGTCGCTGATGGCAAAGGCTGCCAAGCCAGCCCCCCAAAAAAGAGTCTTAAAACTGATCAGGGCCTCGAGCAAGGCAGGGAGGAAAGTCTTAACACGCAACCGGGAAATACAAGTCACTTGGTGGCAGCTTCACTGAGAGCTGGGTTTGATTTCCATCTTTATAATGGCAAGTACTATATCTGAATGCCTAATCAGGGCAATTACCGGTATCTGCTGAGTAAAAGTTGCCACTGTCACTCTTGGCAAGTGCAGAGCCGCTGCTATTCTGACTCTGTTATGGTGCTATTTTGAAAAAGGGTTGAGGCACATTGCCAGAGCCTTCACTAGCCAGTCCTCCTTCTAAAGACGGATATCTGTGAATCTATTTCCTACCAGGGCGATGATGTTCTGCTGACATTCAAATGGAAAATAAGGAAGAGATTCACAAAAGAGTTTTTTATATTATGTGCCAGGACAGAGGGGGATAAAACACAAATACTGTAATCTATCGTTTATTACGTCAACTGCACAGAAAAGCAGGCTATTGCGTAAAACCCTTTATTGCTAATTTTACTGTACTTTTTATCATATTTTAGTGAAATCTGCTCCAGTTTTATTTGGCTGTTGCTACTGTTTGCTGTTATTGCAAGCTCAACACATCATGTTTGCCTGTCGTCTTCATCCAGAGTAATGTATTTTTCAGCAGGACTTATTCCATCAGTACAAATTGTTTAACAGAAACCACAAACAATTCTCACTTATTGATTCCAATCGGTTCTACTCGAAGCATTCTTTCTTTCATTCTAGGTAATGGGATTAAAATTCAGTCAAATGTTACTACATTTTATTTGGAGGATTTACTGTACGTCATATCTCTTAGACCTTATGAATGACTACCTGCTGATGTGGACGACGTTTGTGTGTACAGATGGAGGAGAAGAACAGGCAGCTACAGGAGAGGCTAGAGCTCGCAGAGCAAAAGCTCCAGCAGACCATGAGGAAGGCCGAGACGCTGCCGGAAGTAGAGGCTGAGCTGGCCCAGAGGATAGCAGCCCTCACCAAGGTAGGAACACACACACACACATACACACACACACACACACACAAAAACACACATACTGTTGACACATTCCCACAGATGCCCTCGTCTCTAGATTGTCTTCTATACCTGTGTGTAAGTGTGCACTCGGTGTCATGTCATGACGTTTCAACATGTCCCTCTCCTCTTCCTCGGCCACATAGTCTGACTCCAGCTCCTCTTCCTCCCCTGATGATTATCACTTTGTTATGGAAGCTAAACTCCAAGACATGAACTCCATTCTTAGGAAGGTAGTCCCACAGGGCATCACAGCTACTGCCAACTCCTGTAGAGAGCAGATTTCATTCATTTATCTTATTAGTGTTTTGTGGCGAGCGTGTTTTACTGGGATTCTGCTCTGGCTGTTCTACCATCATGGGACAGCTGCATGGCACTTCTGGCTGGAGCTCATACTTGGCAGCGCTGGAGGAGCTTTTTTTCCTCTTTCATTCTGTCCTTTGGTGGCCTCGTTCTCCATCGTTTTCCTTCTCACTCTTTGTTTCAACCAGCTCTCTCTGCAGTATGCTTTAAAACGATAGATATCCATCTTTGAGTTTGGGATAGAGGCTTTGGCTTGTGTCGTCGCCACTGCTTTGTCTTTGTTGCCTGGCTGTCAAACAGATCACCAGCAGATCATCGTGCCCTCCTTTGTCCTGTCTATGCTGTGATCCATCTGTAGGCGGAAGAGCGTCACGGGAGCATTGAGGAGCGAATGAGGCACTTGGAATGCCAGCTGGAGGAGAAGAACCAGGAGCTGCTACGGGTGAGTCACCACGGAGGCGTTGTGCCAGGCAACGTTAACCAGGCAGCCACTCCTGCATGAGCATGACAGCTTGAGGCGACAGTGACTGATGACACATTGTCGGATTTATTACCCAGTGACACTTGACCAAATCAATGTTTCACACACTCTGGTTTGTAAAAATGCTCACACATGATGCAATAATGTACTACTTATTTTAGATCACGCCTTCAGCATCTACATTTTATAGTATCACAAAATGTTGTAGTAGATACCCAGTTTGAGAGAGAGTCTGAAAATGTTGTGTAACAGGGCTCAAATAACACATTTAATTGCAAAATCCTCCTCAAGAGTAGACGTTTCTCGTTCTCCAAATATTATATATAAGTTCAATATGCGGTCACAAGATTATTAACGGGATATGAAAGGCATATGTTACATTTTTTTTATTCTGCTTTTTATTGCAAATTACTTAATAATTAAAGGTCATCTCATGGGTTGTACTTAACACAAGCATACATTGCTTTGCTATCAGAGGTCACAAGCCAAAAAAACTTCAGAACCACTGCTTTAAATTAGCTTTATAGCAAATATTTTGAAGGGCTTGTTAGATGTGACGTTTGGAATATAGCTCTTCAATCGTGTACTTTATGCCTCCAGGCTCGGCAGAGAGAAAAGATGAATGAGGAGCACAACAAGCGACTGTCGGACACGGTGGACAGACTCCTCACAGAGTCCAACGAGCGACTTCAGCTACACCTGAAGGAGAGAATGGCAGCTCTAGAAGAGAAGGTTAAACATGGCTGCCATGTGGATGGAAACCTATCAATATTCTGTCCAATAAATGTCAGGAGGAGATGGATTTTATCACCCTCTGACTTTCTTTTCCTCTCTTTGCAGAATCTGCTAATCCAAGACTCGGAAGGTTACAGGAAACAGTTTGAGGAGTCAATCCAAGAAAAAGTAGGTTGATCAAAAAATTATGATTAGTATGAGAATAATGAGGTTGGTTGTTGGCATTAGTTTAATTTTTGATAAACCTCTGCAGTTGAATATTCATAAGCTTCCCGGGTGGGGTAGGATAATGAGATGAATTTCATAATCAGCATGTAAAATATCTAGAAAGCATCACTCTGTCAGTGGGTATTCAGCAAAATGAAGATAATCAGCTCCAGTAGCTCTCAGCCATATCACTTCACAGTGTTGACATAACACCAATATGACTACTGTATGCTATACTGGGATAATCATTCTTTGAGCGTTTAATATCATAGACAAGTCCTGTAATCACATTTTGTCGAATTGTTTCGTCCAGACACAGCTGGCAGAGGAGATAGAGAAACTGAGATCGGAGCTCGACCAATTCAGATTGAGGGCAGGCTCCCTCACAGAACCCACCCTGTCACGGTAGGTGTGCTAAGGTTTGACTTGTGTGGGGCTTTGCAGTCACATAAGACCGCAGGACCATGAAAATCTCCACCGAACTTTGAACTTACGAAATTGACTGTTTGCTAAGCTTGGCCACCTTTTTAGATACCGTTGCTTTGCCTGTTAAGCTTTCTGTTTATTTCTAATCTCTGAAACAGTGGGTCCTCGATTTCCGACTAGCTAAAATGAAAACTGTTGCTGATAATAGGGATTGGCTGTAGCTTGCTAGCTAATAGACCAAAAATTAGCTCCATGAGTTGAAAACGAAAAATGTTGTACAAGGGTTAGATGACAATCTGCAATGCGTCATGCTTTCATTTAGCCATTAAATTGACAAGCAACCTGTACATAGAAAACAAGAGTTTTACTACTGGTTCTACAAACTGTTCTATAAATATATAAATAAAGAGAAGCTATTTGTGCCCCTTCTGGTGATGCAACTTGCCAGTCTGGTGCTTTTTAAAAATGGGTCCAAACAAAAGTTAGATTCAGTTCACTGCCGTTCTGGAGCAAGCAGACCATTAAGCAACTGCATGAAATCAAGATGGGTCCATGTCCAAGCATGAGTCAGTATTTGGACCCGGACTGAGACTGTTTCAGAGTCGAGCAGTCAGCTCAAGAAGAAAACAAGGATGCTTGACTCAAACAGAGGTTTGTACTTAAAGTTGCTTAACCGCCTGTTTGCCTTAAGTTTTAGCAACTGCATTGCTTTGTCATTGGATGACATTGTCTGGCTAAAATCTTAAAGAGATTAAGACTTTAGTCAGGGATAACTGATCTGATCTAAGTTTGTGTTCGTAACAGGAGGCAAATAAACTGCAGGAATACAGATATACTCTCTCCAGCAGCAGCCCTGTTATTTTATCTGTCACTGATGAAACATTTTGCTCTGCGCTATTGTTAGAAACACTGGTATCACTGAACTCTCTATATCTATTCCTGGATATTTTCTGGCTTTCCTTTCATGCTGCATGATGTTCTAATATTACAGTGCTGATGTGTTGACAATGGCAGCCATAATACCCTCCATAGACAAACCATTTGCAGCCATTAAGGCATGCATAACAAGCTCGGATCCTTCAAGAAGTACACTTTACACCACATCACTGTGACTATTAGATATGCTTGAGGGTACCCAAACACAAGATTTGATTGGTTTACTGTCTGCATAACTGTGGACATTACCATAACATTTTTGATGCGTATCATCTTTTGTAATCTGATTGCAACTCAGGCTTTAGTCCCAGAAGATGTTTTACTGTAGGCACAAATTAGGTAACGTAAGGTGCAGCGTTACTGATAGAGGTTCTTTCTCAGGTCTCATCTGGACACCTCAGCTGAGCTCCGATTCTCGTTGGGATCTCTGGCTGAAACCCAGTCGGACCACTACCGCTCAGCCAAGGTCATCCGCCGGCCAAGGAGAGGTCGAGTAGGTCTTCGTGAAACCAAGGTGAGTCTTTCTTGTCCGCCTTCAATCTGTCTGTGCCTTTTTATAGTAAAATGCTAGTGTTCCTTTTATTTTCAAAGTGTAGGAGCTGCTCAACTGCTCGACCACAAGCCTTGTTTGTTGGAAGCTCTTTTAGTTAGAAATTGGCACACCCAGTAGAAATCTTCCTGAAAACCCTGAGGCTGTAATTCAGCGCTTGGTGCTAAAAGTCTCCAATATAGTAATAGAATTAACCTTTGGTAAGGAGGTTAAAATCAGATTAACATTTTGTCTTTTTGTTCCCTTGAGAATTCCACAATCCTGCATTATGTTCAATATGTTTTAACTGAATTATAGGATTAGGAGTATACATGGGGGAGAGAGTTTAAGAGATCATCTCAGTCTCAAAATGGACTCATACTTTGGCGTGGCCATCTCATTTTTGCTTGTTTTGGTTGACCAGGCAGGCACAGTCACTGCAGCAGGCCTAATTTAGGTTTTATACATTGTTAGTAGGAGAAACGTATCACCAGAAGAGTACAGACAGGAAGTGAAGAGTCCAGGTTAGCCTCTCCAAGGATACAATTATTTCTGTCTAGCACTTCACATATTAGTAGACTGTACAGCAAATATAGGGTTCCAAGGGTAAATGTTATCCCTCCATATCGCATGCTTATTATGTACAGATACAATTAGGCAATATAAGTTATTTTAGAGGATAATGTGCTGTGCTTTCAGGCTACAACTAAAGCAGCTTGTGGTACAGTAAAATTAGTTTTTGTCATGTTGGCCTGTTGCTTACATTTTTTTTTTACTGCTGATGTCATTGAGGTAAATAAAGCCATTCAAACAATGCTTAAACTAAGAGCTTCTGCATAACAATTCTGATTATATGAGAGAAAATGCTACTTTGATTATCTAATGAAAAGGTGTTCAGCTCCCTGGGGATGCCTCTAATTCCCATAATGACTTCAAATGCATTAAATTAGAACTTACAACATACGTTCTGCTATTCATCCGGTGCCCTTATCTTTCTGTGCAGGCTAAATCGCTGGGGGAGCATGAATGGCGCTCGCAGCAGCTCGGGGTTCTAGGAGGCCACCACTTTGAGAGCGACACCGAGATGTCGGACATCGACGACGACGACAGGGAAACGTTGTTTAGCTCGATGGACCTGCTCTCACCCAGCGGCCACTCTGATGCACAAACTTTGGCCATGATGTTGCAGGAGCAGCTGGACGCAATCAACAAGGAGATTCGGTACCTGACACACACTGCAGTGTTCATTTAATATAAAAGGCCAGCTTCCCAAAAATATTGATTTTCTTCCTTTACTTATTGTGTTCCTAATCCGTTTTACTTCAAATCCCGTTAACACGTGATATGTTTTTAAGATCATATCCCGGAAAGCTGAGCCGTTTAGGATTCCTTTTTGGAGATTGCTTTAAACGTTTCTGACTTTGGGCTGATATCCTGTTGTTGGATTAAACCCTGTTTCAGACGGATAACTCTCCATGCGTTTAAGGAATGTTTCTTAACTTTGCCCTTTTCTAGCCCCTTGGCGTCTTGAGTGATATTCCAGCTAAAATCTATATTATTAGTATTATATAACGAAAACCCATTGGTTGGTTTGTATTTATGACAGTAAGTACAGAAGCAAAAAAAAGTATCAGAGAAACTTACTTTCAGCATAATCCACCTATTCACTGTCTATCCATATTAACAGCATCTTCTAAACACTCATATTTTCCACCAAATATGCTAAAATAAACTGCTTCTGACAGAATGTCGTGCAAGAATCTCTCAAGCTCTTACTCAAGCATCAGTTGTCTGTAGATCGCTCTTCCTGTCTATGAACACTTTTCTTGTATGCACTCAGTGTTTCGGGAAATGTGATCTGCCTCTTGCTTGTTAATGCTGTAATTATCTTGTGCTGATAAGTATTCATAACCCCAGGCGCAACTTTACTTAGTTCTTTATTTCAAGGGCTCTTAATGTGCCTTTTGGTCTTTGCTAATTTACATCCCCATCAATAGACACAGTGCCACATTTCCTTCAGGAGGAGTTAATTCAAATCTGATGGCAGATAGCGATCATGAATCCAAAGAGTTGAGCTCTCAGCTAATTACAAAGTTAGACCCTGGATATGTTAAAGCTAATGACCTGACTTTTAGCCTTTTTATCTCCTCACTGTGGCGTTTAATTAGTTTGCGTTATACTGTAGGTATTTAACAGAATTTGTTAGGTGACTCTCCATAAATCCACCTACATAGATAAGCTAAACTCTGTAACAATGATACTGATATCATGCTAGTCTGGAAACTAAAGTGGAGCCCATTTTGATTTAGTGCTACACTGCAAAATCTTTTCCTTTCCTGCCCCCCTCTCCCCTCTTCCAAGGCTGATCCAGGAGGAGAAGGAGTCGACGGAGCTGCGGGCGGAGGAGATAGAAAACCGGGTCGCCAGCGTCAGCCTTGAGGGCCTCAACCTGGCTCGAATGCACCACCCTGGAGCCTCCATCACTGCCTCAGCCACCGCCTCCTCCCTGGCCTCCTCCTCCCCGCCCAGCGGACACTCCACCCCTAAACTTGATCCTCGAAGCCCTGCCCGCGATATGGAGCGCATGGGGGTCATGACACTGGTGGGTTCCTTAACTACATGTAGACCTTTTGGAGGTTTAAATGCAGCAGGCGACATACACAGAACAAAACTTTCAATGTTAGAGGAGCAGCTAAACAGTGCAGTTACAAACAGTAAACACAAAAAGTAAGAGTAATGTTCGTAATTGGAAGTGGAACTCTACAATGCCAGAATATTTCAACATTTTAAGATGCAAAATGTATTAAAAAAGGACACTGCATATTCATATTTTTGATTTGACCTTTAGTTATTGCCATTAGTGAGTGCATTTAAAAAAAAATTTAAACAAAGAACATTGCGCCAAATACTGGTATCTGTACTGTCTGATGTTTTAATCATTACATTTTTATCATTAGACTATTATAATAGTAATTTATTAGTCACATGGGTTGTTCGTGAAACAATTAACAAAATGACCGGTTTCTGCCCTCATCAGGGTTCAAATAAAGAGACAATACCCGAGCCTGACCTTGTGTAGCACACAATCTCTAACCCCAGAGCACAACATTTATTATATATTGGGACCTTTACAATGATTGTTTTTGTACCACTAGAACACGTAATCAAGATGTAGAATGTCATCAGGTTCAATCTCATACAGACAAGTGGTGTCTGAGACATCACACTGATGAAAAGACTGATGGCCATCACATTACAAGAGCAGCAACTAGTGTAAAATGTGACATGGGTTTCTATGAGGCGCCAAATAGCTGGCTGTCTCTGATTTTAGCCTGTAGTGCTGTGATTGATGGCCAGAAATTTCTTTAGGGCCATAAGAGATTAACTGTTCTTGCATCACACAGCAGCATTTGATTAGAGTCTGAGTATACGCAACGTCGGAGTGTGTACTTTAAGGGATTTAAGATTTATTTTTAGAGATTGTACCACTTTTGTAAGCACACAGAGATGTAGATAAGTAGAGATGTATATTGTATATATTGCAGTATCCCTGCATGTTAACCTATAGCTACAGGAGACATTCATTTTTAAAGACTTGCCGCATTAAATTGGCGTGCAGAGAAGGTCGTGACAGAAACTGTCTTGCTCTGTCAGCTGTCATCACCAGCCCAGATGTCAAGGGAGGTGGGTGGGTTACAGCTTCTCCCAGAATAGACAATAATGCTTTACAGCTTGGTTCCTCTCTAACTATTTCCACATTGACCTGAGGCTGAAACACTCCCAGATGTGGCCCATCAAGGAAGTAATACCTCTTCAAATATTCGTAAATGCCCCTTTAATGCACCAGACAAAGAGAAGGGTGTAATGTGTAAGGCCTTTAAAGGAATAATGCTTTGATTTTATTGATCACTCAAAATGACTTGTTTACCAATCATCCACTTTCCCTCTGTATTGATTAGTGAATTGATGATCTGATATTGGGGAAAGGCTGAAAATCTGATGGTGCATGATATTTATATGAAAGAGCCAATAGTCTTTCATTTGCTACCAACATGGAAGTGTTTTTGTCCATGTTTTAACATGCTGATATTGACAACAGTCTTTTCTCTGCCCAACAGCCCAGTGATCTGAGGAAACACAGGAGAAAGGTACACACAGCATGGCTTGTATCAACAGCGTTTGAATGTGATATTGTTAATAATGTGGCTGCTGTAATGACACCATGGTTAAATAGGTGATTTGCTAGTATCTGAGGGTCACGTCTAATGTCCCATTCTTTGCTCCCCCCTGTCCCTCAGATAGCAGCGGTGGATGAGGATGGCCGCGAGGACAAGGCCACCATCAAGTGTGAGACATCCCCCCCTCCGACGCCACGCACTGTCCGAATGACACACACACTGCCAGCCTCCTCGCACAATGACTCACGAGGGTAGGTGTCAGCTGTACAATCACTCCTTAAAGACAGGAGTATCTTGTTGGTTGAGTAATTTTGGAGTAGGGTTTTGGATGCAAATTCGATTCTTTCTTTTAAAATGTGTCTTGATGTACTGGTTTTCAGATGGTGTAGTCGTCTTTAGCTTTGCCTGTTTTCGCTTTGGATGAAAATTAGATGGTTTACTGCCCACACAGACGCTTCCAATTTTGCCATGAATAATTTTTTTTAGCACTCATAGAGTTAATCTGGGTACTTTTTAAAAATTAAATCACACGCAGTAGCAACAGTATTAGTCTTCGGTAATTGGCATGAATATATGAGCTTAAAAAGTGAAGTTGGAGAAAGCAGCAAATACTTCAAAGATACTGCCACAGAAACAAATTTCTTCAAAAGAACAGACCAAAGAAAGAATTTAAATACAAGTGTGATGACAATTGCTAGAAAGGTATGAAATATACATTACAGTATGTACAAATAAACATGAGTTATTAGGATATTGATGATCTAAAAATGTGGACCTTTTGAGAAATTATCTAATGAAAATAAAATGTAGCTGCAACTTTTAACAACTCTCTTGCTCGTGCGTTTGTGCCCCCAGGATCGTGTCCTCTCTGGAGGCTGAGGCCAGCGCTCTGAGCAGCGTAGCCAGCAGCCAAGATTCCCTCCACAAGCAGCCGAAGAAGAAGGGCATCAAGTCCTCCATCGGACGGCTTTTCGGCAAGAAGGAGAAAGGCAGACTGGGACATATGGCACACAGACAGGTCATGGTTGATCCACAAGGTGGGCACTGGAAAAATGTTTCGACAGCTTACAAAATCCAACAATACTAATAGCAATATGCTGATATATCACCTAATATCTAATGTACAATTTCACCCAAAACTGTTAAGCTTTACTTGGACCAGCAACCCCAGATTTGTGTTGTTGGTAGGATACAATGGGACACTAAAAGTCTACTGAAAGTCTACTGAAACTCGGGATGATATGACTGCTGCTAATACTAGTAGGAAGAACATAATTATACATACTTAGATTAAAACTAGATGCTCCTACAGTACACTCAGCTGAAGATAAAATCATCATCAGATGCAACAAAATCTGATTTATGCATCCACTTAGTTTTGAATTATCTGTGATTTTTATTTTGTTTTTAAAAGGCTTCTAGTGGCCTGGTAATATATAAAAACACATGGTAATATGGTCATAGTATTTGACTTAATATTGTGGAATTATTGTACAATTAAATTGACACATACATATTATGTAAATCAGAGCCGAACACAGCACTTAATGAAAACCTTTTAGTATTTATTTATTTCGTATCACACAGTTATCAATTTCAGATTGTATTCACTGATATCCCGTGTTCCTCCTCCCGTCTCAGCGACCATGATGGACCCAGACATGGCGGGCCAGGACATGGGTGTGGGCAAGCTGGGAACTCAGGCCGAGAAGGACCGCAGGTTGAAAAAGAAGTAAGTTTTGTCCAAAGAACCACATCACTAGTCGCCATGAAACCGAAATTCCACACAGATATCCAAACAATCCCTTAGTAGGGTCTTCTCACACACATCCGACAGTGTCCATCTCATACAACGGCCATATTAAGTTCATGGTCATATTAAGAAGAAGTATTGGGTTTGGAAGTCCTCTAGCTGTATGTTTTTAGACCTTTCAGCACTACATTACAGTACATAGTCCAGTCTGACCTTTGGCACACAGACAGAGGCTCCACCTCCTGTGTTTACCTTTAGCTCTCTACCTCTACGAAAACCCAGCTTTACTCTATGTAATACCATAACCTGCATTGAGAGCAAGATCGATAGAAAGCAGAAGCTGGATCAGTATCCAGGAGCAGAGATCAGCCTCACTGTATTCAGACACAGCGCCAAAGTCAGGCTATTGATCCGTACTGAAAAACCAATTAATCTCACAAAGCTACTTTGTCAATTTGGAAGCTATAGAAGGCTTTTCCTACCACACCACTCATAGATTACACTCATGGTCAGATCGGGGTATGTTCTGCCCTCCAGGAAAAAAGGGGAACCCCCCCTCGCAAATCAAATCTCTCAGCAGGAGTGTTGCAGATTGTATGTATGCGCGCGTTTGTGTGTGTGTGTGTGTGCATTTGCCATGCCCCAGTGCCAAATGATGAATGTCATTTGCTCGAAGTGCACATTGAGTTGTCATGACGAATAACTTTGCCTCCCATGTAGTCGGTCAATAGAGAGTATTGTTTGTTGTATGTTGACCAATGTGTTGTTTTCTCTTCCGCTGCACTGACTTCTTCAAAGCAGTGTCCGGGATTAAGGCCACACCACCACCTTGCATCTTGGCGCCTCCTCCACACTGCATGCCATTGAGCTGCCTGCACTATTTTCCATTTCAGCATCTTGATCGATCAATACCGCTGTGGTCTCATTGTTGGTGTGTTTTTTGTTTTGTTTAGTTTTGTTCTTTTCTTCAAGAGGTAACGACAGAGTATCTGAATGTAACTGAGCATTTGAATGTAAGGCCATGGAAGGGGTCTTGCTGTGTTTCAGTGCATTTCTCATTTCCTCTGCTGCACGAGATGTTGGTCAGGACTGCATTGTAGAAGATGACTTTTTTTTTTTTTTGACTGGTCTACAGATGCTCCTGTAAACGAATGTCCTCCATTGTGAGATATACGTGTGTGGGTGTGTGAGTGTTTCTGTTTAGAGCCGTATCGTTTAATTGCCTATTAACTCATTAACATTTTGTGTACTTTTGTCTCCCCGTCGCTCTCTCTCTCTTTCTCCCTCTTCTTTGCTCTGACTCTCTCCTCTCTTACCCTTCCTCTCCCTCTCATCATCCTCTGACTCTAACAAAGCGGGTAAGTTGTGAGGATGTATAACTGACCTCCTGGATATGACCATTGTCTCAGCCATATTTCCCTGTCTGCCATCTCTCCTGTCTGTCCACCATCCGTCCTCTCCCGAAAGACCAGTGCCAAAGCTGACGTCTCTTATCTATTTATCTCTCTATCCTTTCATGGCTGTTAACGACGCCATTGCGTTCTTTCTTTCTTTTTTCCATTTACCATCTGAAGACGTTTCTTCCCCCCTTTTCACAGTTCAATGGCAGCTGCATCCATGGCTGGACAGAGAATGTGCCGCCGCTAAAACTGGGGCCCAATTATTACACCCGGAATGTCTTCCTCTCCTTATATGTGTCTCTATCTATTTGTGTGAAATAACCAGCTGTGATATCTGGTTATGGGAATGTCAAATGTTCTTTTTGTTTGTATGATTTGTCATAACCGTTTCCTTACTTCCCTTTCCCCAGCTATGTTCAGTGGATGTATTTCTCCATGCATTAGACCTGACCTGAACATAAAACATGGGCTATCTCCCCATGTGCTGGATAGATAAGACAGTGAATGTACCTGGTTGTGTTTGGATGAACACATTTCCTCTGTCCCTGTAGGCTTTCGTATGCCATGTATGCTGTGTTTAAGTGCCCTTTCACTGTACTGAGGCCTTCAATGCTGAGAGTGCTACATGTATCATGTTTATTACTAAGCCCACTCTTTCCATTTGTCAAGTTCTTGGACAACATACTCAGGGAATGCATTGTCTATTCAGAGTTTTTGTTATGAAATGTGTTCACAAAACAGAATAAGATCTGTATTGTTTTTGGTGTGTGGGCGTGAGTACGAGTGTGTTCCTCGGTCCCCTGTTTGTCCGGCATTTTTAGGCTGTTTTATAAGTTCTCCGTGTCTCGCCGAGTGTGGGAGGATTCAGCACAATACAAATAGCTCTGTGCACGACAGGCCAAGAGCATCCATTCGCTGTTCTTTGTCGATAAGGTGCAATTTACATCGAGTAAATCTGCACCGCCACTCAGTGCGGCTCTCAAACTGAGGCAAAACAAAACACAACTCAGCCCTCTTAGGTTACACTTCCAACACCTGCTAAAAAAAAAAACATGGACCACAGCCCAGAAAATGTGAAGAAAAGTTACTTTTAAAAATACAATGCTGCATGGTTTCAAAAACTGCAACAAAAGTAACAGTGAGAAAATCTCTCTCAGCAGAATCAATTCTGAGTGAACTGGGATGAGTTGGCCAATTGTGCTTAGATTAACAATGTAGTATCCAGCCTCACTGAGCAGGTATTGTAGCACAGTGCCTTCCAGGTGCATGTGTGTATGAGTGTGTTGTTGTTTTTGCACTCAAGAGAGCGCATAGAGTACCTCCGCCAAGGATGTACAATCCTCTCAATGTGTTATTTTAATGAAATATTTTTAAAATTCATCTTCATTAAAATACACACAGTCCATGGTCAACTTAATACTGTTAAGGAATATTGTGACTTAAATTTGTCTGAACTTCCTGAACTTCCTCCTAATGTCATTAAATCTGTTAAGTAGTTGAAGTTAAAAAAACACACACACACACACACAAACATACAGGGCAAATATATTTGGACATACAGGGCTGGCTGTACTTTCTACTAGCAGTAAATGTAAGATTAGAAATACTGTAGATGTATGAAAGGGACAAATGTTAACGTCAGGATTAGGGATTTGGGAATGAATGTAGTAAGTGAATGTCCTCATAAATTGAGTAATACGAAGCCTGTGTGTATGAGTGTGTCTCCGTGTGTATGTGTGTGTCTGTGTGTCTGTGAGAGTAGCTACAGTTGTCTGCTCCACTCTCTGGCAGCACAGAGATGAATGATAAAACACTGCCCTTTTCAAACACTCTTAATGTACAGGCTGGACTGGGAGATAAAAACGTGTATGAGTCCTCTTCTCTCATGTACTATATACATGCACACACAGTCCTGTACACACACTGTTACTGCAGGGATTTGTGAGAAGCCATGTGCAGGAGTAAGGGTGTGAGAGAGTTTAAGAAGGTGTGGTGTTGTATCAGAGTGAGAAAATGTGTGTTTGTCCCCATGTACAAGTACATGCGTTCATACCAGGTCTCTTCTGTCCCCGCCCTCTCAGACACGAGCTATTGGAGGAAGCCAGGAGAAAGGGTTTACCTTTCGCCCAATGGGATGGCCCCACAGTTGTAGCCTGGCTGGAGGTAAGTAGGAACTGTCCTAAGCAGACTTTTTATTTTTGTTGATGGATGTCTAACATATACTCAACTGCAAGGGATTTAAGTTGCATTTAAAGACCCAAGAGCTTTACTTTACTTTACTTACTTAGAAGCTGACCTACATAAATCTTAGTTTACCATATTTGTCTTTAAATAACATGCAAAATATTGCCTAAAATTTAAACTTAACTTACAATACATTCACTGTAACTGCATTTTTCGATGCTGTCACTTTCTTTAGATCCGCTATGAGTGACTGTACCAAAAATCTGTATTAATATTTAGTAAAAAGAACACTGATCATAAACCAAAATAAAACATTGTATGATGAATCATTGCAGTGAATCACTCGCTCACTGATTTTTTGAGTTAACACATTGGAATACACAGTTGAAAAAGTCAAAATATAGAAACACTACTGCCCCCTAATGTTCAGCAGGTGACCTACAGCCAGCAGCCAGTTCATGATGACTCCAATCCCTGACCACAATGTTCCAGTTATTGATGGAGTCAAATGGGATTATTGGAGCTACTACTTGCTGAGACAGAATTCTCTGCTAATGTTAAATATCACTAGGAAGATGAAAAATCCTGTGGAACTACTGATAAAAAAGTGTTCATTTATATTTTGTTGGAATAAAATCAAATTGTTCCATGGAACTGTAAAATATAGAATGAAAGAAACCAAATTTGTCTAAGGTATTTGAGATAGACAGACAACCAGATATTTTGAAAAAAGCCAAGAATAAGCTGCTAAATCAGCCTAGTTCTACTTCCTATCAGGCCAAACTCAACATCCCTCGCTCTTTTGTTTCCTCTCCTCTTCTGTCCGCGTGGTGAAGCTGTGGTTGGGAATGCCGGCCTGGTACGTGGCGGCATGCCGCGCCAACGTGAAGAGTGGAGCCATCATGTCGGCCCTATCTGACACCGAGATCCAGAGGGAGATCGGTATCAGTAACCCTCTACACCGACTCAAGCTTCGCCTGGCCATCCAGGAAATGGTCTCCCTCACCAGCCCCTCGGCTCCGCCCACCTCCAGAACCGTGAGTTGTACAGAAAATATGGGAACATGGACGCAGACGGGAAGTTTAGGTATACAAACATTTGTTTTAAGACGGAACTGATCAGGAGGAAGAAGTAGTCTCACATTTTTTGGGGAGTAGAAATAGAAAAGAACAAACTAGGATAAAAATCTTTGGAAATACTCTTATTTGCTCTCTTGCTACAAATGTAATGAGAAGACCAATACCACTGTAATATCTATCTGTTCAGTGTGAAGCTGCAATACCTAGCAGCCTGTTAGTCTAGCACAAAGACTGGAAAACAGCTAGCCCGGCTTATGAGAAAGTAACAAAATCCACATACCAACTTCACTAAAGAGTAAAAATGACAATTTGTGATTTTATGGATGGT